GTCTGGGCCATGAGTAGTCATATCAGAATTGGGTTGCTGTAATATTCCATTGACTTTAATCACAGGGCATGGTAGTACTAAGAGACGTCCTAAAGAATCTCCTGTATCCCAGACATATTCTTCTTTACCTCCATTATGTAATGTCAATCCAATTTCCCCTTGGTAATCAGGATCTATCACACCATATAGTACAGTAACGCCCTTCTTTGTTGATCCAGAGGCATGAGGAAGCCAAAATGGCCAGGTGGCATTCTTAACTTCCAGTTTAAGGCAATCAGTATTGTGTCTCTAGGTGGGCATGTTCCTCCCTTTGGGAATAAGATCTCTGGACCCACAGAGCATAGGGTAGCAGGGACAGGAAGCAAATATTTTTTGAGTGGGTCACTAGGAGTAATAGTGAGTGGTACCACTCCCGTTTCCACCCCTTGGTTCCTGGACCTGTGAATCCTGGCCCTCCTCACATGCAGGTGCCAGGGCCACTGCTGTGTGCATCCCTACATACATGCACACACACACACACACATATACACAAGGTGATGGAGCATCTGGCTACAGGGCCAGGTCTATCTGTACTGACTGCATGGGCAGCTCCACCAGGCCCAGGAAGAAAGTGGAGTTTTGTGGGGAGTGGTATATGAAAGACATGTTCTACCACTGTAAACACACCTCATCAGGCAGTTCAGGTCCTTCAGGTGCAGATCTTGAATGAGGTACTCAACGATTTGTACGTTATTGCTCTGAGCTGCAAAGTGGAGGGCATTCATCCCATCCTTAAGAGAACAGCAGTGCGGAGATATTCATGCAGTGTCCTCAGATTCCCTCCTCCCACTCCTTTGCTGGTGAGGTGAGAGCTTATGTTCAGGTGTGACCCATGTGTCTACCTGATTCTTGGCTCTCTGGTCCACACCAGCTTTCACTAGCATGAGCATGATCTCAAGGCTTCCAGACCAGGCAGCAAGGTGAATTACTGTCAAGCCATGCTTCCCCAAGAAAAGATTAGAGAATTCATCACTTGGATGAGCCACAGCATGCTATCTCAGTCAAGGCCACGCTAACAGTAGACTTGTGGAAACTAAGGAATAGAGAGAGAATTTAATATATAGCCAAGGTGATATTTCAATTCTGTTTGGGGAAAGGGGAGGATAATTTAATAAGCGGTTCAGGCACACAAGTTTCTCTATCTGGAAGAGAATAAAATTGAAATCCTATATTCTACTATATACATGCACCATTACCTACATACCCACACACACACTAAAAAAACAAACCTGTTGCCATTGAATCGATTCTAACTCATAGCAACCCTATAGCACAGTCCTATAGGGTTTCCATTGCACTGGGCAAATCTGGTGCAAAAGATCTCTTTAAAGTGCTGTAGGGCAAAGACGTCTCTTTGAAGACCAAG